TCGGGCTAAAGCTGTATCTTCGCATTGATTCATGTAAGGGCATACCATCACTGTCTGTAAAACTGTTCAATCAACTTTACGAGTTTCGTTACCTTTATGTTCATGAAGTATTTTTTTTTGTAAGACCCCAGAAATAAGCTAATAAAAATTAGTACTTTACTATCATGTCATCATCCTACTGGTAGAAAATTATGAAATTAAATGAATATCAAATTGAAGCATCCACTGGTTAGAATACGGGCGGATCTGGGAGGTGGTAATGCGTAGAGTGCAATTGCACCCACGCCCCGATCATAAGACCAATTTCCCTATTCTCTGAATTCACATGTAATCCTTTCAATTACCGTGATTTTCGGGCAATTTCCGTTCGTTTCGTTTATCTATGTGCTGAAATTCGTTGTTTAATTGGCACCCTTCTTTTCGTTTTGTTTTCCACATGGAGCACTCCTTATATTCATGTTAGCAGACTATAGAGCTATCTATAATAGGTGACACTGAAGCACAAGTGAAAAGGTAAGAAAATGGATAAATATTCTGTTTATTTCTTTGTCGAATTTCGCGCAAAGCTATTCGAGGGCTATCTGCATTAGTCGTACCTAATTCAGAAGAGAAGGTAACTACTCAACACCAGTCACCGCCAACTCTTGGTGTACTCTTTAACGAGGAAAAGTAGGATTGATCGTGACATATAAAATCCCACGATCCACGGGTTGTGAGAGGAGCACCCTAACCACTAGGGCCAAATATTTGATAAGACGATTGTAGGGTAATTAGAGTGAAATAACATGTCGCTGATGAAAAAGAAAATTGAAAATCATTAAGGAAATAGAAGTAGCAGGAGTAATACATTGGGAAGTATTCCTTCAAATATCGCTATTGATTTGCTACTATTAGTACTGGTGGCTATATTTCAGGGTTTGTTTGTTATTGCTAAGCGACACAATGAGCTATACGCGCTCTGTTCGACTCAAACTCCGGATTTTAGTATTGCAAGTCTATGAACTTACCGCTGACCTATCAGGGGATATATTTGTAAGGAAGTGCTTCATGCTGCATTTCAAACCGTTAATTTCCCTTTTTTAGAACTGTTCATTACACTGATTGTTGACAGCAATATAAAACAAACGATTAAGTTGTTATTACCGACACGAAGATATTTTTTTTTCTTATTCGAATTAACAGAAATGTATTTGTTTGTTTGTAGTTAAGCACAAAGCTACACAATGGGCTATCTATGCACCACGGTTATCGAAACCCGGTTTCTAGCGCTGTGCCATTGCGGGGCAACAGAAATGTAAGGCGCAGACGTCTTATTTTATACTTTAGGCTCTTGTACACGAGTGACAGAGACAAAAAACAAAACAAAAAATGCATTGTTTTATAAGAATAAAAGTAAACAAATACAGTTTAATAATGATGAAATAATGCACCAACTTCCTATTTCTGTTTCACTGAAATGCTTGAAAAATATACTAAGAGTTGAGGATATGTAAGTCTGCTTGTGCTATATGTATTCCTTTTTTCGTCGTTGTTTCAAGCTTCTTTTGTAGTACAAAAAAATAAGCACTTTTGGGCAAGAAGTAATTTTTATCTCCCTAACTAAAGTAAAACCGGCAAGATTCCGAAGAAAACGCCCCTTAGACCCTGTTGGAACCCTTGGGTGAATCCCAGACTCCTGTCTAAAATATCTACATTATACCATCTCTGGGATAAGTTCTTATAACCTGCTGATATACATGATTTTTGTTTGTACATTTATATCACATAATATTCTTGAGTGTCACCTTTATTAGGAAATTAAATGCTTGATTGATCATAAACTTTGATGAAATACGTTAAATAAAATAGTGTTACGTCTCCGATCGTTAGTTAATTTTCCGTAAAAATTCTTACCGAAGAAACTTTACCGATACAAGTCCTTTCTTAAATAAAACTTGTTTCTTCTTTCTGATTTATTGTTATTTTTCTTGTTTATTCTTTGCGATACACTTAATTTCAACAGTCGCTCTATAACAAACGCTATAATTCACAACGAACTTCTCATGTGCTCAACAATATTCTTACTCATTACTTTACGTTGCTTCTTGGCCGGTCTTATATGTACAAGACTACCCCAATCTAGTAGTCTCCCGATATTTCATGAAGGTTCAAGAAGGAAGTGGCGTGATACGAGCGTCACGTGACCTGCGTTGTCTTAACAATAGAAACAAAGTCCTTTAACATAGAAACTAGAGGTCACACTCTACAATCTTAATACAATAAAATACAACATCCAACCCACCATACTAAACTCTAAAATGATAGTTAAACAAGGCCAGTCCTTATCACTTGAGTATTTATCACGCCTTCCCCTAAACTTCCTTAAGTTAACTGCATCTACCACATCTGAAGGTAACCCATTCCAAAGGCCATCCACCCTGTTAAAAAGATAAAGCTGTCTTAGTTGAAGATGAACCTAACCCTGCCCAAATCCATATTTGTCTTCTAGTCATACCATTTGAACCATTAAATATGAGAAAAGACGATGCATCTACACTATTAATATTCCATTAACGATCTTAAACACCTCAATCACATTCCCTCTAATATTTTTAAAAAGAGAAAACCATTTCAGAAATATTAACCTATCCTCATATGACAACCTTTCCACACCAAGTAGTATGGCCTGGTAGTTAGGGCACTCGATTCACAACCTGTGGGTTATGATCTTTGAACATGCTCACCCTTTTAGCCGTGGGTGCATTCTAATATGACAGTAAATTCCACTTTTTGTTGGTAAAAGAGTAGCCCAAGAGATGGCAGTGGATAGTGTTCACTAGATGCCTTCCCTTTAGTTTATTATTCAAAAATTAGGGAAGGCTTGCACAGACAGCACATGAGTAGCTGTATGAGAAATTCAACAAAAACCATTTCAGGTATCATCCTAGTGCCCTCTTCTGAACCCTTTCTATGGTGATGAGCCCAAGACTAAACACAATATTCCAAATGTGGCCTAACCAATGACAATATAATCTCTTTAGACTTGCATCTAACATTTCTGTATATACAACCTAAAATCATATTTGCCCTGCCCCTAGCAACAGCACATTGCTTGGATGGCTTAAGAGACTCGTCGACCAGAACACCAAGATCTTTTTTCTTCCATATCACTGCTATGGTTATTCCCATCAAAAGATATTCATAATTTAAATTGTG